TTCCTTCCTTCCTTCCTTCCTTCCTTCCTTCCTTCCTTCCTTCCTTCCTTCCTTCCTTCCTTCCTTCCTTCCTTCTCTCCCTCCCTCCCTCCCTCCCTCCCTCCTGCCAAGAATTAAAGCAAGACTCTTTTGCCCATCCTTCATTTTTCCCTTACAACAACCCTAGGTCATACCAATTATCTGACCATCGGCAACATATTGGTTGTGTCCGAAGTTGAAATCAATTCTTCCCAGTCTGAGTGCAATAAAGACTGTTCCTGTATAGCCATCTTTGTTTAAATTGTCGTTGTGGAGAGTGTGTGCTAGATAAACCACGTATCTGGATTCAAGAAGCTTTGCCCGTACCTTGGCCTGAACATTAAACAAGTACAAAGGGAGAAGATTCTTTAAAGCCAAGACTCCTGTAATTATTACGCAACTGTTAACTGAAGAGCAAGAAGTAGTTTAATTTTGTAAGTCAAATGAGTCTTTACTTGTATTTTTATATTTTAAAAATTATATTCACAGAGAGAAACCTTGAGATCAGATCTCGTTGTGTGCTGTGTGGCTGCTGTGCTATCCTTTGCAGTCAGTGCCAGTACCGTTTTCTTGTCATTAGGGGTTAGTATTACCATTTCTTTCCTTCTGTGTGGATATATTTTTAAAGACGATATATCTGTTGTTCAGAGCAATTAGATACTGTTTCAGAATGCTTTAAAAATCAGACGAGGGGAAGAAATATTTGCTTGTAAGAGGGAATGGGTAATGAGGTTTCATATTGTTTCACATATTAAGAGTCTAGTTACAAATATACAGCAATTATAGCATAATTATACTAAGAGATTTTGTGGCAGCAGTAACAAATCCTTTGGCACAATATGGCTGGAGTAATGTTATGTTTGGGAATATGTATGAACAGTCTGGATGTTGAGGAAAATGGTCAACTATGATACGTTTAGGGTTGCCCTACTTTCCTGCATTGAAATGGAAAGTCAGTTTGGCAGGAAGGAGAAAAAACAACTTGAAAAGAAGAGGGCTAATAGTGGGGACTGAGTGAAACAGGATTCAAGGACAAAAAAAAGAAGTAGGTCACCTCTAGGAGGTCTGCAGAATATTTTATATTTGGAACGTTTTGAATTCGAAATGCTGATTTCAAGTTTGCAACATTTGGTTTCATGTACATCACACAACCTGTCTCATTCATCCTGGAAGTGTTTGAGGCTCAAAATGTCAGACTCTAAACAGAGCTATTTTGGGCTCAAGACTCATCTTGAATGGTCTAAAATAGCTTAGTTTTAGATGTGAGCCTGTTTTAAGTAGGAAGCTTTGAATCTGCTGTTATTTGAGTTGAAAATGTTTTATGTATCACCTGTTATATCTACATTTTTCCTTCACTGACATTGATTTTCTGACTTATTTCCCTGTTATTACACCTTTAATGCTACTTAGTCTGCCACCTCACTCTTTCCGTTTCATTCCTTCTAAATACCACCTCTCCTTGCCATTAATCATTTATTTACTGATTGATTTGATTTGGTTTGTCAATCGCTTACAAGATAATAGGTAAAAGTATAAACATGAGTAAGAATGCAGGAAATAGGTAAGAATAAATGGGGACAATAGGACAGGGACGGTAGGCACGATGGTGCACTTATACAAGACCCTTACAAACCTCTTAGGAATGGGGTAAGGTCAATAGTGGATAGTTTGAAGTTAAAGGAGTGGGGGTTAGCAGAAAGGGGCATGGGGACTAAGGTAGGGCAACAGCCCCACATATCCTATGTTAAAATTTCAGGTATTTGCCTGGGTTAGCAACCTGACTTCCTGTTTTGCAAATACTCCACCAGTGAAGGCACTCAGTGTCCTTCTTATTAATTTATAATTCTCTTAGTTGATATGCTTCAAGACAGTGCAGGTAATCCTTGAATGAAGGTTACAATAGGTCCCCAAAAGCTACTTGCAACCCAGTTTCAAAGTTCCCACATTTCTCCCCTCCCCCTAGTCATTGATATGCATTTTGGGCATTCAGCAATTGGCCCACATTTATGACTGTAGCACTCCACAGTCATGTGATCACAATGTATTATTGTTTTGCTGGAAATGGGCATTTACTTCCAGTTTCCAGCAAAAAAAGTCCCATAATAAACATATGGGTTTGCTTAATAATTGTCACGTTCACTTAACGACCTCCACCAAAAGAAAGGGTCATAAAATTGGGTCAGTCACATGATGACCTGCTTTATAATTTTGATGACTGCAGTTGCCAGGCTCAGTTACAATCATAAATCATCAGTAGCTGACTGGTCACAGACAGCTAAGGAAGTATACTCTACTTTACAGTGGTCTGGGCTTGACTGCCAGATCATCTGACAATGTACATGTACCAAATGCACCTGGTCTTTGTTCATCATTTCATCAGCAAAACTAGAGGGATCTGGGTCCATACCTGGTGTTCTGCCCCTAGTGGTATACCTGGCATTTATGATAGTCTCCTGAAACAAGCAAACTTCAGGCTTAAGCCATAGTTTGAGAATTTGGATACACCAGTGAACTGCAGATATTTAAAAAATTGAAGTGAACATTACTCTGTCACTGCAGGGGTGATCTTTTTGAAATAAGATAAGCCCGATGTCAATAAATGGTTTTGGAAATGTATGACCTACCTTTTCTTTTTTTGAACAGGTAATGTTTTTTACTAAACAAAAGATGCAGCGGTATGTGTAATTATGGCAGATATGTTGTGGTACCTTACAGTAATATCTTGCATTGTTTATGTTATAGTAGTAAATTCACTGGTGAATCAATGACTATCGATAAGCAGATAACGTAAGGCAGATTTTTTTCTTTTCCTTCTTAGTTTCCATTTTTCATTTTTTAAAGTTTCTTTTTAGGATTAAAGGTTGTTTTGTTACAGTAAAAATAAAGACATCCAAATTTTATTTTTTAAAAGATTAACTTAGTTTTCCCAAATCCCTCCATATCTTCTACATTAGGATTATTCTTGCCTCTGTCAAGAACCAAAAAAGAAAAAGAAAACTTGTGGTCCAATACTTTTAGAAGGAACCAAGCCAGAGAAGGCTGGGTTAATTTTATGTCCAAGAAAGACCATTTTGTGGAGCATTAATGTGCGCTGAGAGCTAAAGCCACACAGTGGCGATATGGATGCCTCCACAACAATGGGATAATCAACATGACAGGCAGTTCCACCTATTATATACAAGATATGGAACCCCACCTACAAATTCATTTATGATTTCAAATAACTTTGGTGTGTTCATCGATATTTATTTGTCCTACTTGTCTATATTTATTACAGTTTATCAAGTTTTAATAAATTAAAGGATACACTTTCCCCCCATCGTTGTGTTTTGCACCATTTGAGCTTCTCCTTTTGCATTTCCACTAGCATTCCACATGTAACATTTCCTACATTTTTTGTCCCTCAGCACAATTGCGTCTTTTGTCCATGAACAAACAAATGTTTTGCAAAAGTAGAACATTTCTTTCTTGTGTTATTTTCCCCTTCAGCTACAGTATTAGAAAATGTTCATAAAACATTCTATTAAATGAAAATAAAGCCCTTCTTATCCTTTCTCAGTTACCTTTTCAATAATGTATTTTTGGGGAAAATGGCATTTTTAACGGACTTTTTTTTTTATCAAGATCATATTTTAAATTAAAAATGGTTTAACTACGTGATTTAGGGTTCATTTTGCTTCCTCTTAATCCAGGAATTACTTAGCCTGGTGCTTTTCATTTTTGCATGGACTGTGGGATTCATAACACACTACATCATTCCTCAACTTCGCAAACATCATCCGTGGATGTGGATATCCCACCCTATCCTTAAAAATAAGGAATATCAGCAAAGAGAAGTAAGAGGTATGTAGAATGTTGGGTCACCTCAATATAAATATGTAAATGACACTGTTTATTATGCTTTACATTAGAGTTAATATGGTATTTTTCACATTATTGTGAATCATGAAGTAAAGAGGAAGTTATGATTAGACAGAAATAGAAACCACTATGTTAAAGTAAATGAAGGGCTGCACGGATTATAATACAGCAAAAAGGTGAACCTTCTCAAGAACTGCAGTGGTGCAGTGGTTACAATGCAGTATTGCAGGCTACTTCTGCTGACTGCGAGCTGCATGCAATTTGACAGTTCGAATCTCACTAAATTTTATTTATTATTATTCCCCAAATAATAAGCATGATGGAATTGCAACAACTGCTGAATTGAGAAGTAGGGATGGCTGTAAATATCTCTAAAATTACAGCTGTAGTTTTAGTTCTCCTGTAAACCTATCAGCTAGAAGCAACCTGACTTTTCATTACTGACTGTCTTCAGGGGCTCTAAACTCACTTTACATTACATTTCTATGGGTCTACATTTTAATGACTCTCTTTGTATGTTTTTACATGTTAGGTGATAAGGATGTCAGAAAAAGGGATGTTTCCATTATCTCAGTCTCTTCTCAAAATCAAGCTGACAACTGATTTGGTGTAGTAGGAAAAATGCAATATCCTAATAAGAATCTATTATAAGAGATGAAAAATTAACTTCCAAACAATATCATGGATATAGAGGAAATTCACATAATGATTAATAATAACAGTAATAATTCAAACATTCTATTTTTAATGTATTACAAACTATATACATTACAAGATATTTCAAATTAAAACTAATGTCTCCAAGTCAGTTTCAATTCTTTTGACTTCATAAATATATTGGTGTGGTTTTCTTATCAACAGTGCAAAAGTGATTTGCCATTACCACCTTCTAGAGTGTTTTTCCCACTTTCTAATCTAGACTAAAGTTTAGGATTCTTTCATAGTCTCCAATCTGAAGAGATTCGGTTTTGCTTAATTTTCTGAGTACCCAAAGTCAGCTGAGTATGGCAGTCCTGCTAAACATTTCAAGACAGGGTGAGGAATTCATATGTACGCTACAGTGAAACATAAAAATAAGAGATAAAGGAGAAAAAACATTCATACAGTATGTCACAATTCTGAACAAAGATTATTTCTGAACTGATGGCTTTCACTTCAGTAAACTGTAGCTCTTCAACTATTGGGTTTTCTTTGTGCTTGCAAATTCCACGATATAACTGTCTGAGTTCATTGTTTGGATACTACCCATTTACAAGTTTACAACATTTTGTGTCTCCAAATAGCAAGTGACCTCTTTTTTATGGTGTTCTTTATAGCTGTTTAAGCTCTCACTTTGCAGAACGCTTATATGTTACTTATTCGGGGTTACTTGTATTCTTGGGCAGTCTTTAATTGACATCTCATTATTCAAATGATCAGAACCAGTCTGAAATGTTATTAAGCAGATTTTAGTTCATGTTTCATAGTTTTCAGGAAGAACAATATCCTCATTATAAGAATATATTGAATACTAACATGATTTCAAATGAATGAATAATGTGTATAAAGCTATTCATTCCTTAATAGCATATATAAAAGTTAGATGCTATTCATTATTGGTATTACTCATGATTTCATAAAGGGTTTTTTTTTAATTCAGCTGCTGCTCATTTAATGTGGTTTGAGAGACTGTATGTGTGGCTTCAGTGTTTTGAAAAGTACATCTTGTATCCTGCAATAATACTGAACTCCCTCACCAATGATGCTTTTTTAATCAGCAAAAACAAGATGATAACCTCATAGTAAGTTGCATATTATATTTCAAGATGCATTATTTGTAGAATTAAAGCTCTCCTCATATCCCATGAACACTGATGGGAATTGGTCCTGGAAGAAGGGGAAGAACCAGTGTAACGTGCTCTACTCCGAACCCCCTGAGTTGGTCCAGAAGGATTTGATGATCAATGGTATCAAAAGCCATTGAGCGCTCAAGAATAAGGATAGGACACCACTTCTTTCCTGCTCCTGCCAGAAGTCATCCACAAATGAGATCAGTGTTGTCTCAGTCCCATCCCAGGCCTATAATCTAACTGAAAGGAGTCCAGATAATCTGCTTCCTCCAGGGTCATCTGGAGTTGCAGTGCAATCAACTTCTCAACCTTATTTTTAAGGAAAGATTGAAAGCAGGATGAAACAGGTAGTTGGATCTAGCAGACTACTCCCTCTCTCAAAGAATTTCCTAGCTTTACAATCTAGCCTAAATGATAGACTTACATGAAGTTCATTTATTCACCAGGGTGAAGTTATAGACATGCTTAGAATCATTAAATGTAATGCTTAGATACGATCTAAGATCTAGAAATTGTGACTTAAGAGTTGCTTATCAAATTCTTCCCTAAGTCCAACTTAGTTAGCAAAACTATGAGAGAACAACCTAACATACTAATATATTGGGTCTATGAGACTACAATAGACTTGGAAATTTGCAAGGTGTACAAGTTTGTTGTAACAATTTTTAACTCAACCAGCTGCTGAGAGCAAAGGTGACATCTGCCTTGGCTCTTGGTGCTCAAATCCACAGAACACCACTGTTTTATGGTCTCTTTGTGAGGAGCTGCCATTCAGACCAGGGGTAGGATGCTACCTGTTCTGTCTGGCTCTATAGTATCAGTAGCTCTGAAGAGCAGCAGACACCAAACCAGTTCTGTGTTTGCTGCTGTTTGGCCCACCCGCCTGCCCGGGCGCTTCCCTGTCCTTTATTTCCTGCTTTTTCAACCTCAGCTGCTTTGCGTGGCACAGCTGTGGTTGAGAAAGCAGGGAAAAAGTGGCTTTTCGAACACTGCGCACCTATGCTCAGCGCTTTTCAGCTGTCCTGGAGGCACAGCTTAAGGTTTTTTACACGCACACACGCAACTGGTAGTAACACCAGTTGATAACACCTAGGTGATCTCCCATTCTCTACTCTGGAGAATTTTGAAGGACTGGTCTACTGGCTGGTGTTTTGTTCTTCTCAGTAGTTGTCACCTCTGGTCATTTGTAAGATGTCTTCAGTCAGCCATGACTCACACCCAAAGCAAATCTGTTTTTGGCAAAAACACATCTAGGTTCAAAGTCATGTAAAAGCATGGACATATTATTCATGCAAAATATATTCTCTTCTGTTAATTTTGTTGTTTGTTTTAACTGGGAAATACTGACACAGTCCTTACAAAATGTGAGCAGGAATCACAGCATATTTTTCTCTGAAGAAGTGTGCTTATGTCATAAAAAATGTAGCAAGAGGAATCTCCTTATATTCTTGTGAATAAAGATAAATGCCATCCTTTCATCTTTAAGCCTTTTCCTTCCTTTTTAGATTTTGCTTCTTTACATCTTGATATCACATGGTTGCCTTTAAAGTTCTGCTTGCCCACCATGTTCTGTTACCACTTTATTACAAAAGAGTAATATAACCCTTACTCCTAATATTGTTATTGTGCACTAAATATTAGAATGTTGTTATATAATTTAAAATAAACAGATAAAGCTTGCTTTCAGTTTAAAACAAGACTATGTACGTTTTATACTAGCAGAAAGAAATAAGCATTCTGGGAGGAGCATAGATTTTCTTTCTTTCTTTTCTAATACTGTAATGCTAACAGTGCCGGACTTGCAGATGGCTCTCATTTAGTAGCTGTCTTGTGTAGCAATCATTCATACTTACTGCAGTGATTAAAAAAAGTAACTTTGCAACCAAGTACGGGTCTGTAAAGCAAAAGAAAGCTGAAGTAAGATCATAAGTGCAGTTGTGCTTATGTGACTGCTTCACTGAATGACTGAGATTGCTGGTCCCAAGTGTGCTTACTAAATAAGAGCTACCTGTACTACAGTTAAGTGCAACATTACAAACTCCCTAAATCAAAACAAGTGTTCTCTGCTAGGAAAGCTGCCACAAATCATATTTTAGTGACTGGGATATGCAAACACATTTTTAACAGATAAATAAACCAAATGGAAGCAGGCCGGATACTTACGATGCATCTATTTTAATTTATTTCAATTTTCTTTCCATTTTATTTTGCAGCTGTGATATCTTTCTAATTACAATTGCGGGAATGAAGCTACTGCGGTCTTCATTTTGCAATCCCATTCACCAGTTTGTTACATTAAGCTTCACGTTCATCTTCTTCAAGTTTGATTGCAAAGGTTTCTCCGACAACTTCTTATTCAATTTCTTCATTATGTCAATTGTATTTAATAAGGCAAGTACTGATTTTTAAAACATCATTGTCCTTTCAAGCGTAAATGTTTTTTGGGGTTGAGAGTTAATCTTTTTTTCTTGCAAAACAAACGAAATGTTTTGCAAGAAAAAATTATATTAATATTCTTATATTTATATTTAAATAGAAACTAAACAAAACTAAACCCTGCTGATAAAGATCAAGCAGAAATATTGTTGTATCCTATCAGAGCTTAAGAAAGAAATTATTTTAATGTGAAATATCTTTGAAATGTCATGTTGACTTCTGTGTTGACACAATGCTGTCAAAACTCACAACAGTAGAGCAGCTTTGAAAAAGAGAATTATTAATAAATTGGAACCCGACTTGCTGAGTTACACATGAAGGAGCTTCCTACTTGAATATTTATTTAACTTTTAGATACTTCTGATTTTATTTTAAAATTCAAAAGGCTCCTCTGGGAAATTATTCAAATATATAATCAGTTTTAACATAAATTATTAATTTTTCATTCCTTGTGTCTGGCTTCACCTTCACTTCCTTGGTTTTCAGATCATTAGGCTTTGTTAGGTATGTTACAAAAGGGCATTTGCTGGAGCACAGAGGGGTGAGTGAAACACCCTCCCCAAAGCATGTATGTATCTAGGCCACGGGTGTAAAACTCACCGTGTCATGTTGCTGCGACATGACATTTCACGATGTTTTTCGTGGGGCCAGGGTGAGCATGGCTTGCGCGTGATGCATTGGCCTGCAGGCCACCAATTTGATACCCCTCCTGATCTATGTCCTCCTGGAGGCTTTGCACAGCTACTTCAGAGGCATTCTTCAGTTGTTCAGATGTAGATGAAACTAACACTGTGCAATGTGCATACACAGATAATTCTGTGTGGCAAGCATAGAGGAGAAGGAAGAGTTATTTAATACACTGTATTTAAAGCATTTGTCCTACATCTTCTGTCAACTGTATTGACAGAAGATGTAGGATAACTGCTTTAAATTCAAAGTAGAAGAGGTGGCTTGAAGTGTGCTGCAACCTTAATTCAGCCCATCTCCAAGGCATTAAAACAATTGGCTCATGCAGCTACTGCTTTAAGAGATCATAGTCCGATGGTGCATTTGGTCATCCATGTTTGATGAAGCAGTTCTTCAGACTTGAATCACTGCACAGCTCTGGTTTGTTGATTTAATTTTAAAACATGACCCATTGCATATCTAATTCCCTTAAATCTCTCCTCATAAGACTTAGTTTGCCATCCTCTAATCACCTTATCCAAACTTGTCAGGGTTTTTCTGAATCTTTCTTAAAACATGGTGCCTAGCGCTGAATGCAATACAGAAAAGAGAGTCGGGCCTGTTCTTTGAAAAGTATTCTTATGATGCGCTTCAAAATTGTCTTTTTTGGCAACCATGTCATACTACTGAATGATCCAGATTCTTTCTATACATGATTTCACCAAACCATCTGCCACCATATCACCCCGCATGTGATTTCTTCTATCTAAGTGAAGAACTTTGCTTTTTTCAATATTAACTTCTTCTCAGATTTTGCTTTTGCTGGCTAGAATATTAGTTACCTCACTTTCTTCTGTGCTGACTGAAACTTGGATAAGGATTTATCCACCTCTTCATCCAAGTCATTATTTTTAGCAAATATAGATATATTTATCATACTCCAGTTCCATCTCTGCCCCGTATCTTTTGAACAAGTTCTGTCCTTCAATTTTTCTGTCCCCGTCATGAGAACCATCTGATCAGTATAAATAATATCTAATTACATTTGCCTTTGCCTTGCAATAGAATTCAAATTCATTTCATTCCCATTCATTTCATTCCCATGAACATTAGTACACAGATAGAAAGCCATAGATTTTATGAGTCAATGTTTTTCCTGATTTTTCATTCATTTATATAATAGGCCATTGAACATTTTCTTGGCTTAATTCAGCCTACTTCCTCACCTCCACTGTCAGAAAAAAAATAGTTTGCCTCTTATTATGTCTTTCTTCCACTTGGACGTTGCTTACCTACTTGTTTCTCCTAGGAACTAGCATACCAAACTCATGACTATTTCCAATCTCCATGCTGTTTGCATTTTTCATTGTCTCATGCTCTTTCTTGGTGCCTTCCCAGGTGATATGCTTCCCTTCATACCTGCAAGCTATCTCTTTTTTTGTTTGTCTCAAGACAAGATTGTTTTTGTTCCTTTGTTTGTTTGTTTATGATTGGCACATGTATGCCAATCAGGATGGTGTGAGAAGCTATTATACAAATCAAAGGCAAGGTGTTTTTTTTTTTCCTGCCCCCCCCATTTGAGCCTTGGATTTTGCTCTTGTTATGGACTTTCCTGCCTATCTCTTCAGCAGTGGTGGGATTCAAATTTTTTTACTACTGGTTCTGTGGGCGTGGTTGGTGGGCATGGCAGGGGAAGGATACTGTAAAATCTCCAGTCACAGGTGGTATTTACCGGTTCTCCGAACTACTCAAAATTTCCGCTACCGGTTCTCCAGAACTATTCAGAACCTGCTGAATATCACCTCTGCTCTTCAGGCATCTGGGATATGCATATTGGATGAAACCTTTGTGGAGTGCAGCAGGCTGGGATGAATGTCTGAGGAATATGGCTTGCTATCCCTTGTCTGAGTAAACAACAGTATGCTAATTCACAATAGCTCTACACTGTAAAATCTTTATCTGCTGCTGTTACTTCTAGATAGATGACTACAAATTCAGATATGAAAGCCCACTTGATCAAGCTCAAGCTCATATTTCAGGCAGACATTATTTCTTTAGCATATTTAGAAACTACCCGTTTTCCTCATAGAGCTATTCTGGGCAGTGAATAACCTTAAAAGGCCCATCCATGTAGCCCAGCAATCTGAGAATCTGAATATCTCATGTGACACCATTTTTGTAAGTAGTTGTTCACTTGGAGTGTTTTTCCCTTTCCATCCTCTTTCTGAACCCTTAGAATAAATAAGACCATTACATGAAGTCACCCTCCAAACACCCTTCAGCTTTCCTAGAATTTTAAAATCCATGATGTTAATAGTTGTAGCTATTCTTGGTGATATCATTTCCCACCCTGTACATAAACAAGAAGGAATGATTGTGATACTTTTATGGCAGAAAAGAGATTGTTGTGAGAATGGCAATTGTTTGCTGGTCTTAGTGTTTTGGAATATATGATTTCTGTTAATTTTTAAGGAAGAAGAAAGTATTGTTGAAAAGCAACATCTGCAAACCGCTGAGAGGTTGAATAGGGCAATAAGCTGAGTGAATGCTGAGTAAAATCAAGATAGCATCAATCAAACTGTGATGCTATTTTTTCATGCAGAAGGATGCTGGGACAAAGAATGCAAATGAGAACATTAATATTGCAGAAAATTGATGACTGCAAATTGGCACATTTTATAGGATTCTAGTGCATCAAGGGGATCAATTTCCAAGGTTCCCACAATGTCTTGAACCATGCTTTCAAAAAGGCCATTTGGAAGACTCCATTTTTTGTTAAAGAACCTGCGTGCCTGTATTTATAGATCTATATTCTCTACATATTTATATAGATGTTTTTTTTAACCCTGCCTTTATTATTTTTATAAATAACTCAAATGAACAGACCCCTAACACTCCTTCCATTTCCTAGTTTCTCCACAACTCAGGCAGAGAGAGAGAGAGTTACTGGCTCAAAGTCACCCAACTAGTTTTCATTCCTAAAGTGGGACTAGAACTCACACTCTCCTGGTTTCTAGCCTGGTGCCTTAACCACTGGACCAAATATTATCAGATTGTGAACTATTACAATTTCCCAACTCAATCACAATTCTTGTTAAAGTTCAGGAAGTTTATTTTTCCCTGCTATACTTTTGACTCTACCTAAACTGGACTTAACATTATAAAAATGACCATTAAGACATTACTTTTCATTGAAGATGTGAACAGCAATGCTAAAGTGTTTTCAGTCCATATCATCATGTCAAAAACAAATATCCTATCAATGCAGTGGCTGAAAGTACACATCAAGTTTCTCTGTTACTCTTCAAAAACCTTACAATAAAATCATATTAGACAGTTGTTTAGCAGATTATTTTTTCAGATGCTATTAGTAATAGTAGCTGTAGTATAATAGTAGACCGATCATGTAGTAATTTTATCTCTTTTCAGAGCTGATTCAAGATAATTATTGCCTGAGACAAAGCTGCAAATCATACACGAACATACAGACACAAAACTACATCACTCTGAAAGCCAGCCAAGCTTTTATGTTACCAGAAATAGAAAAATCCCACAAGAGCCTATTATCCCCAATATAAAATTTCAATCATCAGTTATTCAGCCAACAATTTGTTGCTGTTTCAGGTCACTGAAAATCAATTGCCCAAAATAACAGTCTCATGCTAGCTAATCAGAAATCCAGTTGGTTCCTTTTGCCTTTAATTAATGCAATCCAGGGAGCTCAAACCGTGTGAATCAATATAATTGCTTGGGGTCTTCATTGCCTACACCACTTTTCTCTTTGTGACCTGATCTGTTACTGATTGCTGATATTTATTTTCCCTTGCAAAATCATTCAACAGATTCTGAAATCATTTTTCCTCTAGTATATAAGGACTTTTCCAAATTTCCAAATAAAAGAGACCAAATCACTCAGAAATATTGCAGTACATAATTTAGATGATAACTCCCTTTTATAAACCCTCCCAGTTTGCCTTTTCTGCAGATGTGTAATATTTGCATTCCAAAAGTCTGAATATAGGTTATTTTTTTCAACAATTTAGTTTCCTATTTATGTGGTTTCCAATATACTGTTCCACAAACCATATTGTGTACCTGTTTCGTATGGTTTTGGTGATGGAAAAAGGTAATATATCATTTTTTAAAAAAACAATTCAGTGGTTTTGGGTTGTCAAAGCTTATCATACCATTTAGCAAGGCAATGCTCTTGGCTGCAGAAATATGCTGTTCTTTGTTTTGTCAGTAATCAGATAAAATACTATTTTTGACTTCAACATCTTTGTTGAACAGATATTCTCTAGCTTAGTCTGAAATGCAAGATATGCTTGGTTTAGTCCGTGTGTTTTGGCAAATGAATGCTTGGTTCTGACTGTCAGTTAGGTGAAAGACGGTCAGAAAGTTTTATGGAAAAAAATGTTTCAGAATGAACCTGCCAACATAATCTGCTCAACTGCACAGGCTACCTGCTGGGACTTCTTCAGACGTGACAACTGATTGTAATGAAGTATCTCAAGAAGAAGTCTTTGATTTAGTTGAAGTTTCTCTAGCCCTTTTCACTGCCTTTCAGACTGTATTGGGAAATTTCTTAAATTCATTAGAATAGTTTTGGTGAAATAAAAATGGGAAATCTGCAAAATTATATTACATGCTGAAGAGAATTTCCCCTCCATACAGTAAATGGCATCACCTAATTCTTAACTAGCACAGTTTAGCTGATAGTCCACTTAAGTGCACTGCTTTTTGCCACAATTTCTTGGATCCATTACCTATTGACAGATGGATCTGGAAATATTTTTTCACATTTACTTGAGTTAATGGTTTCCCCAACACTGACTGCTGCATTTTGGACCAGTTGCAGCTCCTCAGTGCTCCTCAGGGGTCATTTCATGTAGAGTGCATTGCAGTAGTCTAACTGGGAGGAAACTAAGACATTGGTGACTGTCCTGCCCTTATTAGAATTGGACTCTGAGGGAGAGGAGGAACAACCGACAGGGAGTGGAGGTGTGGCTCCGGAGGTTGTGGAGGAGGCTGGGGAAGGGCAGAGGCTGGCTGGGCAGTCAGAGGAAGAACCAGGCCCATCCCCTCTTCATCCTAGGACACTCGGGGAGGAACGGAGAAGGAAACAACTTGGCTTATGAGAGAGGAAGCAGCCATGATCCCCCTCATTGGTTGCAGCTGGGGAGAATAGTATATAAGAGAGATGATTGTTGCCAGAAGCAGGGCATGTTTTATTTGGGGCTGAAGTTATCTTGGCTGGTGTCCTTCCCACAGACTGTACATTGTTATCTCCTTGAAGTTGGTAATTATTTATCCTGGTCTGTTGTGGAAATTCCTTCATTGTAGTTCGTTTTGTTTTGTTTTTATTTCACCTCTATCTCCTCATTAAGTTCGGACTGTATTGCTATCTTTTGAACACTATTTTTGAATAAGTTTTATTTCCATCTCATCCCTTATTAAAACCCCTCAAACTTTAAAAATATAAGCCAGAAATGCCCTCCCCAGGGATTCTCTGGAAATCCCCAAAGAAATGCTGGTCTACTGGTCTTCTGTGAACTATCCACTTCTACTTTTAGTACTACTTCTTGCTCAGGGGTGGGATTCAAAAATTTTAGCAACGGGTTCTTGGCCTGGTGGGTATGGCCATGGTGGGTGTGGCTTAGTTGGCCTCCTGCACCAGGGGAGCGGTTTTTGCCCTCCCTGGGCACCGGAGGCTTTTCTCGAGCGTCCGGGAGGACAAAAACAGCCTCCCCAGGCTCTGGAAGCTCTCTGGAAGCCAGAAACAGGTCCATTTCTGGCCTTCCCGAACTTCTGGAAGCCAGAAACAGGTCCATTTCTGGCCTTCCCAAACTTCCAAGAGACTTGTTTTTCACCCTCCCCAAGCCTCCATGCGCGCCCTGCACTTACCTGCATCCAAAATGGGCCACATGGGGACTCCTGGGAGGGGTGGGGTGGGGTAGGCAGGGCCAGCCAGGAGTGCAATTTGGGGGTTCTCAGAATCTTAGCTCGGGGCTCTCTCGAACCCCTGCGAAGCTCCAGCAGCCCACCCTGTTCTTGCTCTAGTTTTCAAGAATAAAGAAAGAAGTAACAGAAGAAAAAGGAATATCCATAGTGACTTGGGATGTCTATGGATTAGAATGATATAAACAAGCTATAATGCAAGGAGGCAACTTCAGGGTCAGCTATTTGCTAATCCCCCAGCTCTGCCAATTTTCTCTATAATGATGCAGAAAGACCACTGAGCGTGTTCGTGAGTAATGCACATTACGGAGATAAATTGAAATTATTTTGCACTACGCATTGACAAATATTTTCTCGATTTGGCTATGCTTTCTTTTAATGGCTCAATCTCAGGAGTGGAATCAGAATGATGTCCGATAGTTATGTAGTTACTGGCTCTTTGAAACTTGGAGTGATGAATTCTGCATTAAAAAAGAAACCCTGAAGCATTGTGGTGACACAGAAATGTTGTGTAGATAGGTGTTCTGTAAATTGAGCAGGTTCACATAATGTTTACTAATATTCTTGATTCATATAATTTGTCTAGCTGCAAATTTTGTTGAAAAGCCCTGGTTAAGGTTATAATTCCCTTCCCCTTCCTGTCTTTGGTGAAAAGAAATTGTAAAAAAGTTTGATTCATGGAAGGAAAGAGAATAGATGCCATTTCCCATTTGTAGAAATGCTTTTTGGCATTTTTAGTGCATTTGTCTTGATCAATAGAGACCTTACTTTCACAGGCCACTCCTACCATAGTTCTCCCTGTGTACGTGTAATTATGCCTGTGTATGTATGCAAATGCTTTTATGCTACCGGTAGTCCTTGACTTATGACCACAATGGAGATCAGAATTTCTGTTGCTAGGCAAGGTGGCTGTTAAGTGAGTTCCACCCAATTTTGCAACCTTCTTTATCACAATTTTAAAACCAAATGACTGCAGTTAAGTGACTCAAGCAGTTGCAGAGGTGGTATTCAGCAGGTTCTGACCAGTTCTGGACAGTGGTGGGATTAAAATTTTTTTACTACCGGTTCTGTAGACGTGGCTTGGTGGGTGTGTCGGGGAAGGGTACTGTAAAATCTCCATTAAGAGGTGATATTTGCTAGTTCGCCAAACTATTCAAAATTTCCACTACCAGCTCTCCAGAACTGGTCAGAACCTGCTGATTGCCACCTCTGGTTCTGGAAAACCAGTAGTGGAAACTTTGAGTAGTTCAGAGAACCAGCAAATACCACCTCTGACTGGCCCCGCCCCCCATCTATTCTCTGCCTCCTGAGTCCCAACCTGATTGACTGGGTCTTCTTTTGTTGCCTGCACAGGAGAACAGAGCTGGAAAGCAGGTTAGTGGGGTGGGGAGGGAATGGAGATTTTACAAGCCACGCCCACCAAACCAGTAGTAAAAAAATGTGAATCCCATCACTGAGCAATTGCTAAGTAAATCCGGCTTCCCCCATTGACTTTGCTTGTTGAAGCTGGCTGGGAAAGTCGCAAATGTGTGATCGTATGATCCTGGGATGCTACAACTGTTGTAAAAACATGTCAGTTGTCAAGCACTTACATTTGGATCATGTGACTGTGGGGACGCTGCATTGGTTCTAAGTGCAAGGATTGGTTGTAAGTCACTTTTTCCAGCACTGTGTAACTTTAAGCGGTCACTAAATGAATGATTGTAAGTCAAGGACTGCCTGCACTTCAATCAATATCAGATCTTAAGGAAAGTTTATTATAAAGCAGGAGGGATGCAGCCTGGCCTTATTTGTTTTCTAAACAATGAATTTCATTTTAGAACAATGAGGCATAGAATGTGCTAATAAAATGGAGTCGAACATCCTTATACATTTTTTTTGACCCAAAACCTATCACAGGTTATGTTCCCATCCCACCTAATTCGGGATTGTATTAAAACAGAAGGTCCTGGTTTTTTTTAAAAAAATGAGATAAGGTGAAGCATTTTCTGTTTTTCGTAACAAACACATTTCATGAGATTATTCTGACTCTTGCCCTTGGCTTATAAAAAGAATTCTATTTTGATGATCGCATTTAATCTTAACTGTGTAGGAAGAATCTTTGTACACTTGTAGTAAATACAGAAACCCAAGTGCTTAGTGGGTCGTTGTTTTTTAAAATAGATTTTATGGATGCTATCATCATTTTTTTCTCTCTTTCATTTTCAGCTGTGGGATCTACTACAGAAATTACAGTTCATAATGACTTATATTGCTCCTTGGCAAATTGCCTGGGGCTCATCTTTCCATGTGTTTGCTCAGCTCTTTGCAATACCTCATATCCTTTTAAGAAAGTTGTTTGCGTTTTGTTGTGTATTCAGCCTGAGGCCTGTGAGTAATTTATACAGCCCACTATTGTTTGTTTGTTTTGTTCCTTTTTTTAAAAGTACATCATTCCAAGAAGATTAGCAACATACAATGCTTGGGAAAATGACATTTGTGTTATTAAATAGATAAAAGTAAGGTAAGATAGGAAATGAGAAATGTGTTCCATTATTTGTTCTCCAGTTGTATATGTAATTTAAAAAAGGACAGTATGTCCCTGATACTTTTACAAATTGTATAAACAATTTTCTGCCAAGTTGAGAAAAATCTTCCCCTCCCTAAGGTTCCATATTTACATACTAGATGACATATTTCCTAAATGACAGGCAAAATGCATTTTAAAAGTTACAGTACTCTGGTTGATTACATTGTATTTATTTTTTCTTTATCGGGAATTTGCAAGCCTTTTTCCTTTCATTTCAGGGGTATATTTGTATAGGTTGAATCTTTGTTATATATTTGCATTTAAAAGCACTATTTTTAAGAAAAGCCGGAGATAAGATAGCAGTATTAATTATTATCAAGGATAAATATTCAACTTACTGGAGACAGAGAAATCTGTAATATTTATATTAGTTGCTCATTTCACTATTTGACATGGACTTCTCCTAGAGTTTTGCTGCTTTCCACTAATCTTTTCCATTTGTTTCCTGTGCTTCTTTCCCCTCTTGCATTTAATTATGACTTTCTGTCCCAAATTAGCATGAATTATAAGTTCATTGTATTGTAGCTTCAATATTTTCATTACATCAAATTCTAAATAATCACAGTTCTTCTTTAGCTCTTATGCATTACTTTGCTGCACCTGTCTTTTGGGAAGGAAACTAAGTAAATCAGGAGGCACCTAAAGGACATTGTAAAAATCCAGTGAATTTAATATTTATGCTACCTTAACTTGAAGTTTTCAGACTCTGCAATGCTTTTCTGTCAGACTCTGGCCACTGCAATGTTTTCTACTCCCTTGAGTCCATTTTTAGGGAGTGTCATATTTCTCACATCATACGCCAGACCAGTAAAGTTCTGGGAAAGAAATTACAAGTAAGATAAAAGTAATATAAATATATTCTCTTTTTTATTCAAAATGTGGGGTTTAAATTGAATGTAGTTCACTTTCTGTAGACTGTGGGGATTATTTTACTCCTTTTGTGATTGTTCATGATGCATTTCACTAATGGTTTTTGATGGAATGTTAGCCATTTTTAGAAGTTGTATATTTAAACAGTCAGAATAGAATTGTCACTTCACATTTCTCTGTTGCAAAAGGCAGCAAAACTCTATGGGGAGGGAGCAGTTTGAGAGCTATGACTACTCTGAATGCCAACAGTTATTGATTCCACAGCCACTGGTAGAAATAAAACCATTCTTGCCTTGTGGCATTTGAAATCAGTAGGGATTATCATATGTTATTAGCCAGTTGATGTTCATGTTTCAGCAGACATGGTTGTCATAATGTGTACAAAGTTCTTTTTTTTTAACTAGCGGTTTATTGGTCTGCAAGAGTGACAGAAAAACCATGACTGTGGCGGGTTTTGTTTTAACTAGAGGTTTATTGGTTTGCAAGAGTGACAGAAAAACCAAGACTGTGGCGGTTTCTATGCCTTTTACTATATACAGTGACATTATTTACCACAGGTATTTATAACAGGTGCAACAGGTGTACAATACTGGTGTCAGGTTTCCTCCTAAATCTCCCTCCAAGATACCAATCCTGATTCCTCCCCCCTTTTCTCTATTTCTCCCCTTGATTTCTGGGTTTGACAAGAGAGAGAGTGAAAAGAAAGGAATGTACTGGAATGTACTGTAATATACTCATTATGGCTCGATCTTCTGGAACTGCTTAGTCAAATACCTACTGCTTCTCCATTTCCCCAGGGTCATCTACTCAGTCATTCTCCAAAGATCACAGTTTTTCCACTGACAACTGATCCCTTCCTTCCCCTCTGGGGTGTTGAGTGAAGTTGCTGCCCACAACCAGCTGGGTGTTCCTTTCTCCTCATTCTTAGGCTTGGGATGGAGCTCTCATCCCTCTAGGTCTTCATTTCCCTTCTTCCAGAGAAACCACTCCTCTTTCTTCTCCCTTCCTGTAATGATATGCGGGAATGACCTTGGGAGAGATGAGAAGAAGGAAAGGGTACTTTTAGACTTGCAAGATTGATGTTAGGACTCGCAAGGTACAGATAAGAAACACAATCAGAACTTCTACAACTGTCTAATGTAATTCTAAGATTACATTAAGAGAATCTTGCAACTCTGAAAGTAGCCTTCCCTCCTTGTTTATCAGATCATCATCCAGGCTGGAGCTCTTCCTCCTATCTCCCAAGGTCATTCCCACATACCATTACATATCCTAGTCAAGAACCTACAACTGTTCTACAATTTTTCTACTACTACTTAATTACACTGTCCAACTTTTCTCTCCAGTCTATCCATTCTGTAAGACCTCTCCTTTCCTCTGTCTTCTCCTCTCCTTAATGGTGGACAAGGAAGAAGTTTCCTTGTTGATGAGTCCAATAAGCTGAATGAAGAAAGACTTTGAAGTATTAATTTGCTTTCAAAAGAATTGAGCAATCTAATCCTTCAAAAGTCAGATAATTGAATTGAGAACAGAAGGAAGATATGAAATCATCTTTAAAAGAAAAACCACAAAGCATACATTACAATAGTCTAGCCTGAATAGATCATGAATAGTAGAAGAAAGAGAAGCTCTCTCAGAATAGAGCCATCATAAAATAGTACTTCTGACTATGACCATGTGTCAGCTCTGCCATCTCCAAAAGCCTTCCCAATGCTGTGCTTTGGTTTATGACCAGACGTATCTATCCTCCTTCTTTACTCATAGTGTTACCATCCTGTATGGATTAAAGCTTTTTGCCTTCTCAGTGTCAGAATTCCATAACCGTCTATTTTTTATATATTCTCTATATAACAGAATTTCAGGGTTGCAAAACACTGAACTCGGAAGAAAGCTGAGAAGATGTCCTAGGAGCATAATTTGAGAAGCCACATTTATTTTAAGTACATTTCATATGCAACAACATTCATAATTCATATCCTACATAGTGCCTCTAAATGCTTCAGTAGCCTTTCTAATATATTGTAGCTAGAATTCATAACCACAAAATATGTTCCTTTTGGCAAACATTCCTTGTCACTGTTTGTCTACTGTTGGAAACCATAGTGTACTTCCAGTGAAATCACAAAAATGTGATCAAAATAATGTCAAATGAGCTTTAATTTTTTCCCCTTAGGTTCAGTGTTTATGATTCATGAGATAATAAAAAAATTATAGCTAACAATATACTAAAAAGCTGCCCAGAGTGGTTTTGATATGAGAGGGGCAGCAAATAAATTTAATAAATCAAATAGTTGTGCAAGATTAATGAAATAAATGAATTATTATTATTTATTAAATGTATATGCCATCCAACTCCTAGTAACTCTGGGCAGTTTACAAATGGTTAAAAATATTAAAAACAAGAAAACAATGCAAAACAAAAAAAGGAACAAAGGTGGCAGAGATAACAAAACCAGATGGGAACAAAGAAAAGGAAGAAGAAGCAGGCGCTTCAATCATGCTTGCCAAAAGCCTGGGCAAAGAGCCAGATCTTTTGAGCCATTTGAAACACTAGTTGTGGTTTTGCACACATATTACTAATTTTTAACTGGCTATAATGTTTACTTCAATAATTTACTGTATAAATTCATAACATGTTTTGGTCCCATTAAACAAACATAAGATTTTTTTTTAAAAAAAAATGTCTTAACAAATATTGATGCAAAAATTCACTGTGGAACGTGCCATTTTAGAAGAGACATTCCTTCTCCTGCCTCACATTTTGACAGATGCTTCCATCCTCTAAAGCCAAAGAGAATGCTTTCTGCGTGCAGATGGAATTGATTAATCAATCCAAATTCAAACGATTAATTTCAATTTCTTTAATTGGCTGAAAGCCTTCACTTCAAAGCATTTGTTCAAAAGATGTTCCTAGTGGAATGCATTCCTTTCCTGTAGTGATTACAATGGTGTATATGCACATGTAATCACAATGTTAATCATAATTTATGAGAATAATTTACTCATTTTGAATTGCTGCCTGCTCCAATTTAAAAAATTATTACCCGTGTGTTGTTGACCAACCTGATGAAGGAAGGAAAGAATCAAATCTAGCTAGGACCATGATATTTCTAATCTCCAGCACCTTTTCTCTCTGTATCTTCTTTACTCCTAAGGAGCTGCAGGCACTTTGATTTCCCCAAATACTGAAAACTGAACTAGAAACAGGAATCTATTTTTTCTTCACTGTTTGTCCCTGAGGAGAAATGTACTATGAACAATAACAAAAGTTTGGCTTACATAGATTTAGGCAATGGAGTTATCCTTATGTGTGTGAATATAAAAGGCACTTTAAAGAAAGAACTTGTACATTTGGGTAGGATAGAAAAGAGTTTCATGTTCTAGTTTTAAATCTGACTTACTTTGCAAGCCTAAAATCAGCTTTTACATTCTGTATGGTTAACTCATTCCTGTAGTGCTGATCTTGGTGTAACTAAAACAACGCAATTCATGCATGAGAGAAAGTGAAAAACAAATTTGAGGGAGCCACTGTTGATGTAGAAAAACACAAGCATAGTCATTGCCTTTGGAATGATGACAGGCTATGTGAATGTAAGGTTAAACTAGTACAAAAATGTAAGGTTAAGGGGAAGTAAAATGCAGTTTATTGAAAGAAGGCATGGCTGACTAGAAGTCCCCATAGTGAGCACTGTCCTGAATATCATACACTGCAACTTTATTTGTAAATTTTCAATCATTATGTGTGAACTCTCAACATTACATGATAAATATTATCTGTGATGTCTAAATCCCTAGCTGGGTGCACACCAATTTTGATGGAATTATAATTGCCAGATTTCCCAATGATGCTGACTGACTGATGACTGATTCTTGATTTGTAGCCTCAGAATATCTACATCCATTGAGTATAGAATAAATAGTAAAGAAAACACTTAGGCCATCAATCTCTCTTAAAATAATAGTAATTTTGTGTGTTTATTGAATACCTCATTTAACTGTTTGAAGAGGAACATCAACCTAAATACCAGAGCCGATGTATATTCAAAGGTATGCAAAACAAGAAGCATTGGAAGTATCTCAAGTAGCTTTGCACTATACTACAGTAGCTTATTTGGCTCTTTCTTACTTTCTTGAATGAGACTTGTTTTAAATCTCATCCAACAAAGTTTGCTTTTTCAGCAAAAGCATGAAAAAAAAAGGCCGTGCAATTCTTGCTCCTATCTTCTAAGTTCATTCCTGCATACTATTACAGTATCAGACAATTCCCAAATAGTTTTTATATCAAAAAGTAAGAAAGATCCACTCCAAGACTTGTATATATTTTACTCCCTGTATGTGGATCCTCCTATGATGAAACATAGCAAGCAAAAGATGAAGAACTCTGGTGCCATGGTTGGTAGAAATCCTGGATCTCACTCAGATTAATAAGGAAAATCTTATTAATTACAAGTACATGAAATCCCCCATAGCACTATTAAAGAACTCCCTGCTATAAAGCTATTAGAATGAGAAGGATACTGATGTTTTAGAAGGCAAACTAAGCCAGACTGCAGAGAAAGGCAATTGCCATAGGGAGTGATCTTGAATAACAGGAGGTGGAACCAGTACCAAAGCAAGGGTCAGATAAGAGGGGTTTGAGCCCACATCAAGAAATTAACCTGAGAAAACATCTTGGGTCTCTCCCTGGTTCGCCTAAAGATAAAGTGAGAAGGTGGAAGCAAATTCTATTACTGTAGCCGTTGCAATGAAAGTAGTCCTGACTTAAATATGGAATTGGTTTCTTATCTTGCAGGGCTGACAGTTATTTGAATCAATTCCTTAAATCCAAGTATCCAGAATTGTTATTGAACTTGCTAGACATACTTTACTTCCTGATAAATTATAACTGCACTGCCCCACCCCACCCGGTATCTTTAAAATTACATTTTCTAAATGTTTCAGGGCTTTATGCTTATATCAATAT